GAGGAAACAAAGAGATGGGCGCACAAAGGAAGAAGAGAGATTTGAGAGTGAATACTAGTTTGTATTTCTCAACTTGAGGTGTGTAAATGAAGGGTTCGTTGAACTTATAAACACCACCAGGGTGTTGCTGTTCACTGTTGAACATCTTAGGCAATTTCCCTACACAAATACTATCTTCTTCATAAACCAATAAATTCGCTAAACTAAAAACTTGTTTCCTTTTGTTAGAATCCACATGCACATGTTCCCATTTATATTCGGCTATTTGGGACATCTCGTGCTACTTAGATTTGTCGTCTAACAAGATTTTTAATACTATGTAGTTAAAATTAAAAGGGTTAAATACATCAGAGGTCACCAAACTATGTTCAAATAATTATCTTGATCATTAAATTTACTGAACTCTTTATATATACACATTGATCAATTTTTTCATAATTAAATAAATCTAACGGTTATTTTAAATCTTTTGAAAGTTTAATAATTAAAAAATTATTTGAGCATTATTCAACCCCATCTAATTTACTTTACCCTTTAATTGAAACACTCTTCTTTTAACTCTGTATTTTAATTTAACAGTGGCTAACCCTGCAAAAGAATAAGGTGGCAAAGAACACTTAAAGGCGACAATCAAGAGGCATCGACGGAAAGAGTCATTAGAGATGAACAAGAACGATGGATTTTCGATTTTACCAAGAGCATAGGAAGTTCTTTGATTCTAACAGGCGCGACGATTGGACATCTAAAAGCTTGAAATCGAGACCGACGATTATGAGGTAACAGAAGTGGCTCGTAATATGTTCAATCCTCCTCAAAGACACTCTTATTGACATGATAACAAAATTTATTAAAGGAGATTAGGAGTTACGAATCCGGTTGATCATAAGAGAGCAAAATGTTGTTGCGGGTCGTAGTAAGCCTATTGACGAAGAATGGATTTCGAGACCCCTACCAGATGTTGAAGCGTTAGTTATTAGTTATTAACTTGTATTCTTGTTCACGAACCAACTTACCACCGTGGTTAAAGGAATCGTTGTTGTTTCTAGAGGTTACAGGTTCGAGCACCAACGGCTGCAGCACCATTCATTGTCAAATGGTCGAGAGCATTTAGAACATGTATTATTTTATAATCACCTTAGCTTAATGGGAAAATGGGGAAAAAGAGATCATTAGTGCTTAACTTATATTCTTGTTCATTGTTAAACAAAAAAAAAAGTTATTCTTTATTTAAAAGTCGGTTTATCGTTACTTATTATGGTTATAAATTAACTTAATTATCTATGATCCAAAAATGATATTAGTTGTTTGCATACTTGCTCAATACCATAATTATGTGCATAACATATGGATTAACACCATAGTTTGACTCAAAGCCCTAAAACTTAAATTTTTAATACAAAAATAAGTGTCTGAACTATGTCTCAAATTATGTTTTAATGCTTAAGAATTTTTCACTAAAAATAGGTGCCTAATGTTTTCAATATTACACTTTTAGGCGTCTGGATCTTAACGACCATTAAATTTGACCATTATCTAACACGTTTCACGTATATAAAATTTCATAAATTATTTTATTTAAAAAATTAATATTATTATTTTTAAAAAAACCCAAAATTTACATTTTTCAGCACCTGACGGCCATCGTCGGTCCGTGCCATTAGAACCGTCTCGCAATCGTGACCAAAACTCAGTCCCCATCCACCGTGAAATTGTGTCGATCATCGTGAAAAACGCAACAAATGGTCGCTGGATTTTTAGGTTTTTCGTTTAAGTTTTCCGTCGATTTCAACGCCCACAGCCATCCGTACGTTACAAGACCACCATCGCTAATTCCTCGTCGTGTTCCGAACAAAACCCGACCAATGGTGATCGTTCACTGTCAGAGGTGGGGCGACGGGAGGGAGAGGGACGACGAGGGGAAGTGTTTTTTTTTTTTTTTTTTATTTAAAAAAAATATTTTTTTATTATTAAAAAAATAAAATTAGAAAATATAACGGTAGCTACTTAAAAGTGTAACGTTGGAAACGTTAGACACCTATTTTTAGTGAAAAATTCTTTAAGCATTAAAACATATTTTGAGACATAGTTTAGGCACTTACTTTTGTATTAAGCCTTTAAGTTTTAGGGTTTTGAGTCAAATTATGGTGTTAACCCCTATGCTATGCACATAATTATGGTATTGAGCCAATATGCAAACAACTACTCTCATTTTTGGATCATAGACAATTAAGTTAATTTATAACCCTAATATGTAACGATGAACCCATTTTTAAGTCGAGAATAACGTTTTTTTATTAGTTAAACTAATTTGATTCAATTGATTGACTCAGTTTGTTTAATACATTAATTAACTCGAGCTCAATTAATTTAATCAAAACCAAATTTGAAATTTGACCTATTTAACAATAATAGATTAGTCTAAAAAAGTCATGATAATCATGATATTTTTTAGTAATTAATTAATCTTATAATTAATCATTTAACCTAATAGATTACTTGACTTGAGCTCAAATGATTTCGTCAAACTCAAAACCCAATTTGACATTTGACCTACAAATTAACAAAAATATAAAGTTATGTTAATTTTTATATATTCTCCCACTAATTTTTTTATTGATCTTTTTATCGGTTAAAGTTTTTAACTTCTTACAGGTACTATCTTATATTCACCGTTTATTAAAAAGTTAAATATAATTATTTTAAATAATTGAATTTCATGAAATGTTTGCACAAAAACCACTTGATCAAAGATTTTTAAAATATTTTTTATAATTTTATCATAATAAATTTTTGATAATAAAAATTTTAAAATTAAAAAAAAATACAAATTAGACCCTAAATTGATATACTAAACTTTTACAAATTAGTCTTATCGTTTAATAGATCAATTTGATTAATTAAAAAAAAGATCAATTTAGTCTCCATATTAATATACTAAAATTTTACAAATTAATATTTGTTCTTTATGGAATAACATTATTTATTTTTCATTTGCAATTCGATTCCAAATAAGCAAATTCATTTATAAAGCCATAAATGCAATAAAAACTTTAACCTCGTTAACATTAAATGTCAATTTTCAAGATAATAAATGTTACATTTATAATAAATTGATTTGACCCGATTATTTTCATTAGTACAAATATTAAATGTATCTATGCAATATTAGTGGTTGAAATTCAATAATTTGAGCTTGTAAGGTCAAGTTTGAATCTTACCACCGTTACTCTTGGTGGGCAATATGTAAATTTCTATGCAAATCCCAATTGGGTCGTAGGTATGTCATGTCCCTTGATTGGGGGAGTCACCCCTGACCTAAACTTTTTTTTATATAAAAAAAGAGTTTAGCATATATTTTAATCTTTACTAATCTATTGAAATGAATAGCTTTATTTGATAAAATATGATTTTTAACTTTTTATCCCTATAGGTGGTGAGACAATTGTGACATGTATCACTATTTAATTAGTTGAATAAAATTGATTAAAAATACCAACGAATAAAGAAAAAGGTAATGTGGTAATTAAAAACTAAAAAAAATAACATGTTATTCCATATAAGAATTGTCGTTAATAGTTTTATAAAAATAAAATTTAAATAATAAAACAAAATAATAATAATAATTTAAGTACAAAATGTGTAATTTATACTTTTTTTTAATGTTTATTTAATAAAAACGATCTAAATAAATGATGTGGTGCAGCACGTCACGTGCGCAATTTTCCTTGTATTTGGAGGAGGTTTAATATTGCACGTGTTTTAGTCCAGGGGTCCCACTTACAAACATTCCCCCTGGTACACGTCAGAACAGTGTTCGATTCTGAAGTTCCTTAACATCACCAAACTGTCCACGTCGGAAAACGAAAAGTTCAGGCGTTCACAACAATTTTTTTGGGCCCCACCCAGCCACTCGTTTTACTATTTGCGCGCTTTTTCAGCGTTGAACGCGGTCAAACATGCACATGATTAATAAATAGTTTTAAAGTTGGTAGAGCACAAGTCTCTTATCTTTGGGGTCGTGGGATCGAATCTTACGGAGGGTATTTCATAATACGAAGATCTCCTACGAAAGCTGTTATCAACCTAGCGTTGGGGGCAGCCTACTATCCTACCTCCCCTTACTCCATTACATATGGGAATAAGGGTCACCTATTTTTTTTTCAAGTTGGTATAAATATTTTCAATAACTACGTACTTTAAATTTTAAAAGTAATATTTCGAGCTTAATGTATCGAATAGAATTAAGTTGGAATTATAAATATATACAGTATTCGATATGAATTGATCGATCAATCAATTAAACATTTATAATTTTTTTTAATTGAAAAACTCGATTGTAACCGTTATTAAAACGACATGGGTAAGAGACCAAGACATATGCCAAAATGAAAATTTTAAAAGTTTAGAAATTAGTGTTTAGGGTATAGTATCATTCAGACATGTCAAATAGCATGAAATAAATATATGTGGTGTCCAAAGTTTACGCACTATATGCATCATATCAAATTTATATCAATGTTCGAATATATATTAAGAATTAATCTGTTTTATTTTTCATGATACATGTAAAATTTTAATCAGATTAAATATAAAAGAAAAGTAAATTAGTCAATTTGATTTTAAATGTGGGTGATAATATTAAGATAATTTCGGTACAACACAAATAAACAATAATGCTCCAACTCTTATAGCGACGAATCTACGATATTAATTCATGCACGGAAGAAGTACGTAGTATGCAGACGACGTTGATTTTACACTAATATTTTATCAGCCTATAAGGATATTTCATCGATCATCGTCTTCGTCGAAACTCAAATCTATGGTTTGGTCCAAAAATAACGAAGAAGAGAAGGATGCTGGAATTTCTAACTAAAATCCACTCCGAAAAAGACAGCAGGATCTGTCAAAAAAAAGAGACAGTAGATTTAAGTTGCTAGAAGGCAGAAGCATTAATGAAAGTAAGGCGAAAGAAATTGAAGTTGCAGGCTTCTCTTACATGACAGTAGATTCAAACCTGGTTCAAGAACTATTAGGGTTTCTGGTAGTGGTAGCAGAATCCGAGGAATTGTTGTTGTCATCGACATCGACATCGAAATCCGTCATCTTTATCCATTGTTGAATCTCGTCTTCGCCTATTCTATCCCAAAACTCAGTCCCCAATCCCATTTCCGTGCTCGCATTTGTCAGATCGGAAAAAGCTACACTTGTTGCAGCTGCGGTTGTTGCGGCGGCGACTGGTGTGGTCAGATCGGGGAATGGGAAGTTAAGTTTAGCTCTGGGTCCGCGGAAATCGATGGCGGCTTTATCGTAAGCACGGGCAGCTTCCTCCGCCGTGTTGAAGGTTCCGAGCCAGACCCGGACGGCGCGACGCGGGTCTCGGATCTCCGCCGCCCATTTTCCCCACGGCCTTTGTCGAACTCCCCTGTATTTTTTCTTCACTCGTTTAGTTATAGTCGTAGAGGACCCGGCTGCTCCGCCCTTTTTGTCTTCCTGCTGAATTGGCGGGAAAAGGTTGCAGCCCAAACAGTCGTCGAATTTGCACACGTGGCACTTATCCATAACTTCACTCGCTTCTACCACCATATTCGCACCTGCAACGTCAGTCGAAGAAGAAGCTCCGACGGCATGGGTAAGAAAATCGAAAGAAAAATCAACGGTGGCGGTGGAGGAAGGGACTGAACCGGTGACGACGTTCGTGAGGGCGGAAACCATGACGGATAATTCTTGTTCGCGAGAAAGACGACGGGGAGGCGAAGGCGGCGGCGTCATCGTAGGCGGGGCTAGGAAGGAGACTCGTCTTCGCCTTTGCTTTAGCATAAAACTTGTGCTGCTTTTGGAATTTCTCGACTTTGCAGTTTTCAGCTTCGGACAAGAAAACGAAGATGTAAGGAGGTATTTAACGGAGACTTTTTTTGTACGGATGCCAACATGGCATGCCAGCTGGGACGCTGGGAACACACGGGATAATCTAAATAAAACCTTCTACTGCTAAAAAAAAATAAGATATTCTAGTAAGCGCACGTGGCGGATAAATTATCTTACAGCTACAGATAAAACGTTGCTACGTGGCTGATGATGCTATAGTGACACTGACCCTGAAAATATACAATTTGTTCCCATTTTTTTTTATCTGGACGGTTATACTACAATATCAAAATTAACTTTATAAATATATAGATTAATGTTATAAATATTTTTTCACAAAACATTAATAATATGTTGTTAGGGTAAATTACACCGTTCCTCACTATACTATACTCTCTCTTATATTTTTCTCACCCTCGTTCGGTCCCAAAATGGGATGGGTCACTTTGCCTCGATGTTGTGAGTTCAAATCCGACCTCCATTTTGCCAGAAGTTGCTCCGAAGTTCTCGAATTTGAGATTGAAAGTGAGAAAATCGAAACGTTTTAATCTAAATTCACGGGGTTTTGGACATTTTTCAGTGAAACAACCACTAAATTCGGAATCAGGGTGTTGAGATGAGCTGACCAATCCCATTTGGGACCGAACAGCCACCATCTACGACGATCGACGGTGCCCGGAATGAAAATGACGTGGTGGTTGGCAGAGAAAATGGAGAAGAGAAGGAAAAAGGGTAAATTACACCATGGATCATTAAAATTTAATCTATCTCATATTTTACTCACCAAAACGACGTCGTTTTAGAGTATATTTGAGTTTTTCAAAACAGCGTCGTTTTAATCCATGTGCCACGTCATAACACCATTAAAAACTTAACTACAGAATTAGCAAAATGATTTAATCTGTAAAGTTCAATGAACAAAATAGAAAAATTGAAAGTTAGATGAGGAAATTTGGAGAGAGATTATAGTACAATGAGGAACAATGTGATTTACCCTATGTTGTTATACTGTAATTTATGTTATTATTTACTGTTGATCTTATAATATTAATTATAATTATAATTTTAATATCAACTTAACCTAAAAAGCTATTTATTCTCAACTATTTTCTCAAATGTTTTTACTTATAGTAAAAATTAAAATCTTTCACTTGCAAGATGAAATTACAGCTTTTACCTTTAATTATTTAAATTTTGCAAAGTGGTCCGCTAGCATTCATACTGACAGCGGGGACACAGCTAGAAGTTTTGGGGAATCTTTAGAGACAAAAATAAACCAACCGTCAAAACCGGAAAACGACCGGACATGCTTACAACAGAGGGGTGGGGTCCACTGCCTGCCTTTTCACAATTTTTCAAGACTACTTTCAACAACCATTCAACAAATTCAAAATTATCCGCTCGTATATATTTTGTTTTTTAATTTTAAGATAAACTATAGAGAAAATCGTCTCAATGACCAAAAAAAAGTTATAATATACGATTTTAATCAACTTTTTTTGGATTTGCCAAAATGACCAACAAAATCGCAACGCGAAATAAAAATCGCAACGCGATCCCCAGAATCGCAAATCAGTTTCCAAAATCGCAACGCGATTCTTGAAAATCGCAATGCGATAGTACAAATTCGCATTGCGATTTTCCAAAATCGCAACGCGAATATTAAAATCGCAACGCGAACACATAAATCGCAACGCGTATCCGTAAATCGCAACGTGTATCCGTAAATCGCAACGCGTATGGGTAAATCGCAATGTGTATCCGTATATCGCAACGCGTATCCGTAAATCGTAACGATAATCCGTAAATCGCAACGAGAATCTGTAAATCGCAACGATAATCCGTAAATCGCAACGAGAATCTGTAAATCACAACACTGAAATTTTGGGTATATAACACTGAAATCATAAACTAAATCCCTAAATCGCAACTCATTCCATCTCCATCTATCACTCTCTCCGGCGACATCCTTCCTATATCCAACGACATCCTTCCCAATCCGGCAACAGGTTTTAGTTTCGCAGCTCGTCTGTTTAGTAAATTAATTTACAACCATGAAATCATCTAATGTTGATCATGTTTGGATAGATTTGTGTTTTGGAGGGTCATGGGATAATGTTCATGGTGTTTTACAATATATGCCTTTACCCATGAATCTTCAACTAAAATTGTCTTTACAAAAGTTAACTTATGAAACTCTAATGCTACGTGTTTCAAATAAATTGAATTTAGAGCCCCTAAGTGGATTTAGGCTATCTTATCAGAGAAATGGTAAAGTTTATTTGTTAACCGACAATGAAGATGTTGAACGATTCATTGCTTACATTAGTGTTTCACAATGATGTTACATTGTATGTTGTTGAACCTAGAAGTAGTATTGTTGGGTCAGTAGCGGGTAGTAATCAACTAAGTTTTTCTCAAAACCCACAACCTTTCTCTAATCCAAATCCCAATCAACTTTCAGCACCAAATTCCGGTTTTCGTATTGACCAGTTAGACGATGATGAGCCAACAGAAAAAATTGTGAGTACTAGTCAGTATTCGAAATTTGGTCTTGGTCAATATCCGGACTTTGATATTGGTCAATACACGGATTTTGATGATGTTTCAGAAGAAGAAACAGACCATGCGTGTAATGATATTGATATTGGTCAATACCCGAATTTTGATGATGAAACAACCGTTGCCGAAGAATGTATTGTTGATGATAATGAGGAGGAAGTTACGACTGTGAATGAACATGTTGAACATCCATTCTGTAATTCATAATCCTGAAGAAGAAAAAGAAGAAGAAAAAGTCCCCGAAGAAAAGAAAATGCCACGGCGTATAACTGGAATATGCCAGAATTACTTCAGATACCGGAAGAAGAGTTGATAAAGAAAGCAGTTGATTGTTACACAAAAGTTATTCGTATCAAGAAAGATGATTGTTTTGATACAAAGGAAGACTTGAAGATAGCTTTATATACGAAATGTGTGGAAGATGGCTATCAACTAAAAGTTAACAAATCAAGCAAAGATCGTTTCGAAACAAGGTGTATGATTGACAAAAACTGTATGTGGCGTATGATTGCAAAGAGAATAAAAGATTGCAAAATGTTTCAAGTTAGGACTTTTATTGATAAACATACATGTTCAAGAACCCAAGTTTTTCCTCACCATAGACAGGCAAACAAAAAAGGTGTTGGGTGGTTTTCTGGCTGAGTTAATGTTTTTGAATGGCAGGGTATATCGGGGACATGAAATTATGACTGACATGAATGCTCGGTTCAAGATTAGTATATCATATTCTCAAGCTTGGAGAGCCAAATGTTATGCCTTGGAATTGTTGAGGGGGTCGCCAGAAGCATCGTTTGCCCAACTGCCGGCTTATTGTCACAATTTAAAGCTGAAAAATCCTGGGTCGGTAACTCATATCAAAACAGATAGAGATGGACGCTTTGAGTTGCTGTTTATCGCCATTGGTGCTACGGTTAGTAAATCAATAATTTTGTTGACTCATTTTGTTAGTTACATGCATTTCACATTTAATGATTATATTTCTTGTGTATATTATTTTGTAGATTCGTTCGTTTATTACTTGCATGCGCCCAGTTATTATAGTTGACGGAGCACATTTGAAAGGTCGATACCTTGGAGTAAACTTATTAGCAGTAGCCATGGATGCTAACAATGGGATATTGCCAATAGCTTACGGGGTTGGCAAATCTGAAACCTCTGATTCATGGACATGGTTTATGGGGCATCTTAGGGATTGCATAGGTCCTATTAGCAATCTGACAATCATATCCGATAGGGCAAACTCAATTGACAACACTGTTAGAAGGTGTTTCCCAGATGCTTTTCATGGACTTTGTGGTGTTCATTTGTATAGAAATCTAAAATCAAGGTCTGCTGGTATAAAAAAGCACAAATGGACATACTGGAAGGCTGTAAAAGCTTATCGGAAGTGGATTTCAATAAGCATATAAATTGTTTAAGACGTGTTTTGCCTCAGTGTGCTCAAACACTAGAAGATGTCGGGTTTGAAAGATGGTCAAGAGTACATCAACTTGGAGCAAGATATGGTTTCATGACGTCTAATAGTGCAGAATCAATCAACGCTCTAAGTCGTCATTCCCGGAAATTACCCATTACTATGTTAATGGAGTTTTTTCGAGCCTCTATTCAACAGTGGTACTACAAGAAAAGAAACCATACAGGTATTATTTCTTTGAATTCGTAACTTATCATATTTATATATTTTACTAAGTATTGTTTATTTAAATTTACAGGAACATTGGAACATCGTGTTACACCATGGACTGAAAAAAAGATAACGAAACGTGTTGTGAAGTCAACGTCATGGAGAGTTGAACCATGTTCAAACACTTTGTTTCAAGTACTGGATAATAACTTAAATGGGCTAGTCGATCTAAATGCAAAGACGTGTAGTTGTATGAAATGGCAAACATCTGGTTATCCGTGTGGCCATGTTATAAAAGTTGCTCTTCATTTAAACCAAGATGATTCAAGCGCATACGCTATGGATTGCTACACTACAGAAGTTTATCGACAGACTTATGCCGAGATTGTCTACCCTATTCCACATCCTTCTGAGTGGGACATACCAGATGACTTACAAACAGTTTTGCCACCAGCCATGGACAGAAGGCTACCTGGCCGACCAAAAAGTCACGATCGTATACCGTCTAAGGGTGAAGAGAAGAAGAGATCGACATGTAGTCGGTGCAAGGAAAGTGGTCATACAAGGTTGACATGTGGATCACCAGTGCCATCAAAATCATCTTTTCCTCTACCAAAATATGGATCCTCATCAAAATCTAAAGCTCATATGGTGTCAAGCAAAAGGCAATCATCTTTAAAATCCCAATCACAATTGGCTTCACCTTTTGGGACTGTTAACTTAGGTGATTTTAAATGCAAACGTTGTATTATGTGG